TCTCTCTCTCTCTCTCTCTACTCTCTCTCTCTCTCTCTCTCTCTCTCTCTCTCTCTCTCTCTCTCTCTCTCTCTCTCTCTCTCTTCTCTCTCTCTCTCTCTCTCTCTCTCTCTCTCTTCTCTCTCTCTCCCTCGCTCTCTCTCACTCTCTCTCTCTCTCTCTATCGGATTTTCCTACTCTCGACTGGCGTGGCGAGTTGACGTGCGGCAGGTCTTGGCTGATCATTCAAACATCATTACCGGTAGGCGTTTACCCATCAGCAGCGCATTGTTTGTTCTCGCAGCCTCCCCACGTGCACGCACACCTGGCGCACCTGGCGCTAGAACGCTAATAACGTCACGTATCGAGATAACAACCGTATAATTGAGGGGACCGGGACGGGGGGGGGAAGAACGAACGCGAGAGGATGATTGGGAGAAGCAGGTGGCGAAAGAAGATCTTAGAAAGAGGGGGAGAAATAGGCGGAGTAGATACTGGGGAGGAAATAGGTAGAGTGAATGATAGGGGAGATACAGGTAGAGTGTATTATAGGAGAGAGACAGGTAGGGTGAATGATGGGGGGACCAGGTTGGGTGGATGCTGGAGGGGGAATAGGTAGGGTGGATTCTGAGGGAGGAAGTAGGTAGGGTGGTTGATAGTGGAGAAACAGGTAGAGTGTATTATAGGGGAGAGACAGGTAGGGTGGATGCTGGGGAGAAGCAGGTATAACGTGGATGATAGGGGAGGAACAGGTAGAGAGGATGCTGGGGGCGAGACAGGTAGGGAGGATGCTGGGGGAGAGACAGGTAGGGTGGATGCTGGGGGAGAGACAGGTAGGGAGGATGCTGGGGGAGAGACAGGTAGGGAGGATGCTGGGGAGAGACAGGTAGGGAGGATGCTGGGAGAGAGACAGGTAGGGAGGATGCTGGGGGAGAGACAGGTAGGGTGGATGCTGGGGGGAGACAGATAGGGAGGATGCTGGGGGGAGACAGGTAGGGAGGATGCTGGGGGAGAGACAGGTAGGGAGGATGCTGGGAGAGAGACAGGTAGGGAGGATGCTGGGGGAGAGACAGGTAGGGTGGATGCTGGGGGGAGACAGATAGGGAGGATGCTGGGGGGAGACAGGTAGGGAGGATGCTGGGGG